GCCCCCCAGCCGGCGGCTCCCGCCTCCCCTTTCCGGCCTGGGAGCCGCCTCCCTGGCTCGGCGCGCCAAGCGGCTGTTGCTGAAGGCCGCGCTGCCAGCCCGCCCTTCCTCTCCGGGACTGGGCCGGCCCTTGGCCTCCCGGCACAGCGTTTGGCCGAGCCCCACGTCTCCTTTCTTCGCAGCCCCCATACCGCTGAAGGGGTGGGTAATTCGGCTCCTCAGTGACACCCGTTCAAGTACATCCACGCCCCTACCAGCACTCTTTTGATCTCCCTCTGGTCGGCCTGCATTAAAATAACAGCCTGTGTTCCCTATCCAATACTACGGCCCTTGGCCTCCCGGCACAGCGTTTGGCCGAGCCCCACGTCTCCTTTCTTCGCAGCCCCCATACCGCTGAAGGGGTGGGTAATTCGGCTCCTCAGTGACACCCGTTCAAGTACATCCACGCCCCTACCAGCACTCTTTTGATCTCCCTCTGGTCGGCCTGCATTAAAATAACAGCCTGTGTTCCCTATCCAATACTACAGAGAGCTTTAGTTAGAGCAAATAGCGCCTTAAAGCACGCCTGCCTTCGTGGCTGCCTCAGGTCTTGTGAGCCCTTGGCTTTCTTTTCGCCCAAACTAGCTAGCGCGATGCGGTGCTGCAAAGTGGCACCCCTGCCAGCCTCTCGCTAGTGCTACGAGCTGACACCAGTAGAGTTGTCCTTTTTTGGTCATTTTCCCCAGAGATTTTGGTGCTGGGTGCTTCAGAGATGTAGGATGTTACCTGCCTGTAACACTAGCACTCAGAAAGGGGAAAGTTGGTGCGCATACATTCATATTCCCTTGTGATTCAGCTCATTATTTAAGTATGAAAAATTAATCAATTGCTTAAATCCCAGAAGACTCAGCGTTTTTTGAATGTGGCATAAAGGGTTCATTTTAGTCTCTTTTTAGTTGAAATTAAAGTACAGGAGTTGTAGGAGTGCAAGCAAGGAAAGCTAGCAGTGTTGTTGCCTTCAAATGTGAGGAGAACAGTAACCACCTCCTTTTAAAGGGGGTTTGGAGGAAGTAAATCAGAGAGGATGCAATGGTTTTTGCAGCTTGTTGTCTTCAAGCAGTAGCGGACACAGAGAGCTAACCTGCATCTGTGAGATGGCACAAATGGTTTTTAAGCATCAGACCTGATAAATGCTTTACAACTCCGTAGTGCAGCGTGTGAGGTTGTGCAGCCTCGCTCTACCGGTTCACATGGACTGAAGGGTTACTTTGGTCTGGTAAAACTTTGTGCAGGATTAGGTACTGGCTTTCTCAGGCAGTGCCAAACTGCACACCGATGGGAGCTAAGGGAGTATAATTACATACTGTCTTTGTTCTTGTACTTTCCTCAAGGCGTCTATTTTTGGGCACTGTGAAGTGTTAGAGCACTGAGTTGTGTGGCCATCTAGTCTGAGCTACTGTACTTGCTTCTGTGTGCTTATCTGAAGTGTGACTTGAAAAGGGAGCCTGTTCTGTGATGCATGTCTGGAATAGAAGGTTTTGCATAGTCAATTTGGCTCCAGTCCTATCGCCTGCAAATTTGTCCCTATCCGCTGTTAACTGAATGGGCATGCAGACGCTGTGGAGATCAAGACAAAGTGCCAGCTCGCTGTAAGAGCATGCTTTTGTCCTGTCTAGTTACTAGTACCGTAACTTTCTGTTTGAATATAATAAAGCTTTATTTAATTTTTTTACCTACATTTTGTTTAGCTTGAGTTGTGATTTTCACAGTAATATGGTAAACATGAAAGTGCTCATTCCTCAGGGATTCCTGGAGCTGGAAAGGGTATATTTGATTTCTCCAAGAGTGCTTTATATCCCGCATGATGTTGCATTACAAAGTTGACTGTCCGTACGTGTTTTCTCCTCTAAGTTGCAAGTCCCTTTTCAAAGCTGGTGACGTTGAATACCAAACTGTTGAGAAGAGTTGGAGCATGCTACAAAGGTAGACACCCTAAATGCACTTGCCCAGTTATGACAGTATTCAAATAAAACACAGGCATACGCAAGGATTCATCTCTTTGAATCCACTTTATAATTGTTTTAAAAGAGATATGTCTTTATCTCACACCAAAATCTGTGCTCCAGGAATCTCCCAACCTGCAGTTTGTCTCGTTACCTGTTGAAAGGTAAATATGCTGAGGGGAAATAGTGCTGCACTACTGAGGACAGAGTGCTGTGTTCCCTGTCAGACTCAATAACTGTGGATACTCGGAAGAACGTTGCAGGGATGGAGCCTGGAGTTTTCCTGGCTCAGGGGAGGCAGCAGTGGGTCTCAGCTGGGCACCCAAGCTGGGGAGTGGGTACGCTGACAGGCAGAGAGTTCAGACTGGTGCTGGCACTGAGCTCTCAGTGACCAAGAAGCTGCTTTCACTGTGTTTTAGGAAGCAGTGAGGCACATGCCATAAACACAACATTAGCGCTAGCGGTGACACCAAGCTCCCACTGGCACCTCATCCTGCAATGGCAAGGGTGGCCAACTCTGAGCCAGCCAGGCTTTAGGCTGTGATTCATGCCATGAGGGCAGGAGCCAGCACGAGAAGGTAGGCAAAGCAGTAGATTGTGTATTACCATATAAGACACCCTCCTGCCCCCCAGCATTTCCATTAAGGTCGAATAACTGATCTTTTCTGCAGTTTTATTTTTGCTTTCATGTTTGTAACTGGAGTTCTAAACATTTCAGTGCATTCAGTGTTTCAGTATATTTCTAAAGTGCGATTTTCTAGGTTTTTGAAGCATAATAAGAGGACAAATTTTATCCTGTGGTATCAGGTTGACACATAAGTTGTCTGCGTGATTAAACCTTCAGAGCTGTAGGGGCACTAATGGAGTAACTGGCATTAGTAACAGGCTAATATCCTTCATGTTAACTGGCAACAGAGGTTGGTGAGTGGGCCCAAGGTGCACATAATTTTAAGAAAAATCCATTTCACTACCTTGACATATACAATTAAATTATCATTAAGTGGTAGTTAATTTTATAAGATGGTATTTACTGACAGTTTTAATATTTGTCAGTACAGTTTTATACTGATTCAGTCCCTAAAATTCTGCTTATTATGAGTTTATGCATTTTAATTTTGCGTGGCTGTATTGTTTTGAGTGGGAGCTTATTTGGCCCATCTTAAAACTTTGTGGAAGCAATGGGATCTGAGAGGAAACACTGTCTGAGAGTTTACCCTAACAAAACCGGATTATCTGACTTCCTCAAGCCAAATGGGAAGCTCTTGTGTCAGCTGCGGCACAGGCAGCTGTCGTGTCTGGCAGGGAAGCTCTCTTGCAATCGATATAACTGGCAGAAATAAAGATGAATAAAGATAAAAGCTATGCAAAGTGTTCTGGATGTATCTCTCATGGCATGGCATGATGAGCAGTAATTATTGCAGTGGTGCTCCATCTGGCTGCCTATGTCCAGGGTAATGCTTACATTGCCGTCATACCCACTTATGACTTCAGCCACGTGCTTCTGTGATTAATTTTTTCCCCAGATAAACTTCAAAATGCTGTAACGACTTCAGACCTAAGATGATAAAGGCCCATGAAGGGTGAGAGGTAGAACGTAAAAGTAATTTTCTTTCTATCTTGCTCTAGAGCAGTTTCATTTGACAAACTGCCACTCTTGGGCTCTGACGTTTAGTAGTGCCTAATGGGGCCTGAAAAGCGAAGGTTATCAGCAGCGATGAAACAATTTCCTTGAAGTCTCTGGGAAGCGGCATGCCTATGTGACAGGTCCCGTCCCTGAGGAAACACAGCATCTGTTTGGAAACTCCCCTTCTACTTCCCCCATCTCTGTGTGTCGCTCAGTGGCAGCTCATCGATGTGGGGTTACTGCATCCTCCTGAGGGTTACCCTGACTTCATTAGCAGCTTTGAAGGAGGTGCTGCCCTCCTAGCAAGCAGGGCATAGGGGTTATTAACAGGATTTCCACATTTTACTGGAGTCTTACGTGCTTCCCATGGTGACCTCAGAGGCCACCAAAAGGGTGTTTGTTCCTGGGGTGCTGGGCCTGGCTGAGGAGCATTCCTTCAGCTTTTTCTGGACATCTCTGCCTACAGCCGTTGCTGCTGCTTCTGCTGACATAGCAGCACTTGCCTTTGCCAGCTCTTACGCTGCCTTTCACTCTTCATTTAGTAAGTTTTTTTATGTCTTAACAAAAGGAGGTGTTTAAATAGTTATTTAAAGCTTAAAACTATGAATGTAGATCTCAATTACCTTCTCAATTACTTTTTAATAAACAAGAACACAATCCCTGTGAGCAGTACAAATATCATTAACCAGGCATAATAGTATGCAAAATTAAAAACCATTAGGGGTTTTAAAAAAGCACTAGGACCTAAAACACAAAGTGCCACACAGAAATAAACTTGTCCTTTCAAAGTCATATATTTGTGCATGTGTGGTGCCTCAAATCATTTCTGCTTATGATGATAGGGCCTAATGGTCGAAAGGCCTTGCTTTGTAGATAAGGGATTCAAGGGCATCATTCAGGGTCATCTGTTACTTGACATCCCATGGCATATGCTGTACAAAACATGGTATTGGTGTTTTGCTAGGAGCAGTAATGCATCTAGCAGCCATCACAATGAAATTGTGCTCCAGAATGAGGGGTATCAAAGGCCACATTGAGACAACGTTGTGATCTCTGACAAGAAAGTCACCAAGTTTTCAAGGAAAATTGCTTCTCTCTT